TGTATCAAAAAGCAGATCAGAAAATGAACTTAGAAGTACTGACGACAAACCTTCAAAGCCAGAAACATCGAGCGGTTCAAAAGAAGACATCTCACCAAAAATACCCTTCAATGGAAGGGTGGATGGTGGTCAAAATGAGCTGGAGAAGCAAGAGCCACCTATTTCAGGAATTAGCGAGACCGTTCAACTAAACAAAACACTTTCTAAGTCACCCACAAGTACCACCATTAACAATAAAAATGAAAGTGAATACAGCGAACAGTCAACGTTAATATCCATGACACAACAGCAACCGGAGGCAGAAAACGGCGCTTCCATTGAAGAAGACATATACGGAACTCGAGAGGATTTCATTGATCATTACAAGGTGAATGTCGTTCAGCACGATACGACCAAGATCCCTTCATTTTCCGAAGACGAAATATCCTACGTAGAAGATGAAGGACCATCAAATGTCTGGTCTGACGGTTTCAGCAATCAAGCAGAAAGCATCTTCTTCCAAGGCGATATGCACCCCACCATTAACAGACCAAGAAGGGTCTTTTTGCAGGATGATGAAGACGAAGATGAGTCTGATAGTGAAGATAAAGATAACGAAGCTGATTGTTAGTTTTTTTTAGAGTGTTTCAGTGCAGACCGTGATGTTGAAACTGATTGAGAGAAAAAAACTTGATGCAAAATTCATTGCAGTTCACTCAAATTAAAAATGTACAATCATCGCCCAACGAATAAATGGATGCAATAAGAGTTACAGGGTTACAAATATCCAAACGCCATTTATTTATTTTTCTATTCTGTTTTGATTTTTTTTTACCAAAACGTTTATGTTTCACCAACACTACCTGAAGATAATTTCGAACAACTATAGGTTTAACTTTTGTGAGGTCTGTAAATAAAACAGATGTTTTCTATGCACTTCATTTCCATCAGAATATGAAGATATTTCCTTTTGTTTGAAGAATTTGAGTCAGAACAAGATTCACGTGCGAGTTTGCAATTAGAAAAATTAAACTTTTTGTTCGACTTGAGGTTTTGACTAAGCTTCTATAAAGTATTTGATGGATGTAACTTTATAATTCATTTAGATAAGTTTCGTATCACAATTTTATGTGATGCTGTTGTATTATGGTGTATTTCTATTTGTATGCTTATTACACTTGAAATTACTGTTATCCATTTAGTTTTAGTTGTACAACCTTTGCCAAAATATCCGAAAACATTTAATAAGTTTTCACAGAACGCACCGTTATAAATTTCACCTAACCTAACCTTTAAATTACTGTTCGTTTTGATTTCAAACTATTTCACATACCTCATATACCATAAGTTATTCTAGATCTTCAATTTTCAAGGTTACAAAAGAAAACTGTCTTTAAATTATACGTACCTTTTGTTCTTATATTATGAAAATCAAACCTAAGCTACACAATTTTCTTTCACTTCTATTGCTAGTTTCTTTATGGTTAACATTGTTTCTGAATATTTCACAAATCGTCCTTGCCTTAGGTGCCATATATATCTTTATATTTGAATCAATAATTTTGAAAACCCCCACAAAAAAGATCGTCTTATTTCACAAAGTGAAACTATCCAAAGAGGCAACAACAGAACTGATCTATTTATTACTAGCAAAGATAATCTTTCAAAGTTGGCAGAATCATATGTCAGAACTACCCTACTTTGTCATTAACAATATCTGAAATAAAAGCGCATGCCAACATCCACTAGTGATAGACATTTTATTGATAAGGTATTCAGTGGTGTACAAGTAGTGATTTGGATAGTCTCTCATACTGTAAACTATAGACATCTTAGTGATCAGGTATTCAGTGGTGTACAAGTAGTTAATTGGATAGTCTGACATACTGTAAGCTATAGACATCTCAGTTATCAGATATTCAGTGGTGTACAAGTAGTCAATTGGATAGTCTAACATACTGTAAACTATAGACATCATAGTGATCAGGTATTCATTGGATAGTCTGACATACTGCAAACTATAGACATCTTGATGATCAGGTATTCATTGGATAGTCTGACATACTGTAAGCTATAGACATCTCAGTTATCAGATATTCAGTGGTGTACAAGTCAATTGGATAGTCTAACATACTGTAAACTATAGACATCATAGTGATCAGGTATTCATTGGATAGTCTGACATACTGCAAACTATAGACATCTTGATGATCAGGTATTCATTGGATAGTCTGACATACTGTAAACTATAGACATCTCAGTTATCAGATATTCAGTGGTGTACAATTAGTCAAATAGATAGTCTAACATACTGTAAACTATAGACATCATAGTGATCAGGGATTCATTGGATAGTCTGACATACTGCAAACTATAGACATCTTGATGATCAGGTATTCATTGGATAGTCTGACATACTGCAAACTTAGACATCTTGATGATCAGGTATTCATTGGATAGTTTGACATACTGTAAACTATAGACATCTTAGTGATCAGGTATTCATTGGATAATCTGTCATACATCTTAGTGATAAGAGTTATATTTAGTAGTGTACAAGCAGTGAATTGGATAGTCTAACATACTATAAACTATAGACATTTTAGTGATCAGGTATTCAGTGATGTACAAGAAGTGAATTGGACAGGCTGACAAACTGTAAGCTAGAGACTTATCTTAGTGATAAGAGGTATTTAATGGTGCACAAGCAGTGAATTGGATAGTCTAACATACTATAAACATCTTAGTGATCAGGTATTCAGTGGTTTACTAGAAGTGAATTGGACAGTCTGACATACTGTAAGCTGAAGAGATCTTAGTGATCAGGTATTAAGAAATTTGTCTTGTGACGTAATAACATTCGAGTGTACTTAGTTGAGAATCTGTTTTTCGGTTAACCAGCTGTCGCATCCTACGAATGACAACCCTCAGAGGTTGAAACTTGTGCGAGCTAGGGAATAACGAGGTCTTACCTTTTAACGTGTGATTCCTAACACGGTGAAGTATATTGAAAATCATTAAATAAAACGAAGAAAATCAAACGGAACATATTGTTGACAAAAGTGGTCAATAGAAACGATTAAATAAACAATAAAACATTAGGAGCATACTCACCTATGCAGTTTGGCCAAAGGAAAGTAGATGCACAATTTCTGATGCAACTCGCAAAACTCCTTGTAAGTTCTTTGAATCTCCATCGGTTGCTTCTGATCTTTTCGGTATACTCTCAAAATGTAAACGTAATACTTGTCTGGGTCATATCTCTTTCTATAATTTACAACTTCGACATGCACCAGTTGTCCATCAGTAGTCATACTGAAAACAAATCAGGTAAATGATATAAAGGCGATAACTACGATTATATGAGTGTTTGGAAGATGTTCTATGCTTTCAAGTTTTTCTAACAGTTGGTAAAAGATACGGGGCATAGACATTTTGCGATGCTCTCTTTTCTTTGTTATACAATGTTCATGGAAATATCGATCTTTGAAAATCGTGATAGAAATTTACTCATTTATTCATCAATCACTCACCTGTACGTCTTAGGTACAAACGACAATAAATATCCACCGTCATTATCAGCAGTGAATTTCAGTTGAGCCAAATTGTGCAAGAAAAAGTTGAACTGCGTGAAACGCGTTTTCAGAGATTCTTCTATCAGACGAGTAAAGTAAGCTGCAGCCTCGGGATTCGAAAGTTCAGGTAGTAAAGCTTTGTGCATATATCCGATCGATTCGGGAGTTATCCTGCAGATTCCCGATGAAGTTATCTGGAAAATGAGCGAGTTAAACGCGAAACTACTCAATATATTATACGTTACAGTGGAGTCAAGGGATCTTTAAACATGCGTCATATATTTGTGCATACGATATATGTCGGCAAAGAAATGAAACTGAGACGAACAATCTAACCTTTCAATGGAGTACTGAATTTATTTATGATATCCCCTATGTTACAATTTTGAGTCAATTTCGTGTGAAGTTCCCTAATGTGGAGTTAAAATTTATCATTACGATATAAAATTTACTTACTATAAAGTGTGAAATGCCCCCAGTTTATTAGTTGTGAAAACAGCAATTTAAACAGTAGGAACTCAATAAAAAGTGCAACTGGAACTTATGACATTGAATAAATTCAAAACAAGCACTTTTCCTAAAGACCAGAACTACAATATACTATAGGGTCTTCCAACAGTATCAGCATTGCACCGTGCAGAGCCGGGGCGGATTGCTAGTATGGAATGTTCCCAGGTTCCACAAGTTGAATGATGTCTTCAAACCATTTTTCAAACACCTCCGCATTCATCTCTTCATGATAGTCGCCTGTTTTCTTAGATTTAAATATTAATTCACCATTTGGTAAAAATCCACTGTCGCTTCCTATATGCGTAACTATCAGACGACTACCTTTTCCAGATGGCTGGTTTAACCCAACTCACAAACCTTCAATAAAGGCTTGTCGTGCACTTGTTATATTACCATCCTGCTTATGTTGATGATATACACTACCTTGCACTGATGAGTGGCCAAACAGCCCGAAACCGGTCTGCAAGTGTGTTCCAATAATTGAAAATCTATTGCGGTAGTTGTATCGCCAACAGCATTTGCAGGAATAGCCAGGGGAGTAGTTGTTTTCTGATAGGTGTCAGTCCATTAACCTACTGTGTAGGGTGTTGAGACTAGCCTCAACGAATTGTTCTTTTAGATGATTTGGTTAAAACAACAATTTAAACAGTAGGAACTCAATAAAAAGTGCAACTGGAACTTATGACGTAGATTAAATTCAAAACAAGCACTTTTCCTAAAGACCAGAACTACAATATACTTCTTCCAACAGTATCAGCATTGCACCGTGCAGAACCGGGGCGGATCGCTAGTCTACTAAATTTGCTATGTCCCTAATAACATTTTTTTCAGTACGGAATGTAACAATTTGACAGCCAAAACAGTTTAGACCTGCCATTTTGTGTTGTGGACAATGGTGTGAGGAATATATCTGAAAGAACTGGTATTTTTTCTGTAGATATCAAATTCTAGACTAGTCTTTCACAAAGTGGGCGATAACGCCCCCTTGTGGGTGCTGGAGGTCTGTAGGGGGCAGTAAAGGTCACAGAGAAGATTGGGGGGCTTTGAAGCGGTTTAGGGGGGCGATGGCTAATTCAAAAATGTTTTTTTGCTTTTAACACAAACTTTACCGCTCCTTTACGCGCGTTTTCTCGTATAACGCCACCTAGGGGATTAGACAGTAACTATCCTGTCCGATAGTTGTCAAACTGTACAATAGATGGCGGTAAGCTTCAATGCGAAGCGAGAAGTTTCTAGTCTCCATTCTCGAAAGTACTAGGCCCACCCGCTGCCTCATATAAAAGCGCACGCGCCATCCAGCCAGTAATGTCATTCGACGACATTACGAGCTGCTTGTTTACTGCCAACATTTGAAGAACCTCCGCAGTGATTTTGCAGAACGATTCCAGGATACTTTAAAATTGGAAATACCAGACTGGGAGTTGGATCGTTTTTGAAATGTCAACAAAAGCCAATCCCGCAATTGTACCCTGGATTGTGGTCCATCGTTTATCGATTTTTGATAGCATTCCCATCATCGTATTTGTGTGAACGTGGATTTAGTGCTGTGGCAACGTTGCTTACTAAAAAGAGAAATCGGTTGCAGATTGTCGAACGCGGTGACTTACGGCTGTTTTTGAGTAAATTGAAGCCTGATATTAACAAACTTGTTAAAAATCATCAAATTCGTCTTTCACATTAGATTAGTTTTAAAATTCAAATTGAAATGTTTGTTTTAATAACATGAATAAAAGTTTTCCTAATATTACAAAATTGTGTTTTACATTACCCTCATCAGAAAGTCTTATTTTCACATAACACAGATAATTTAATTATTAAAATAATGACTGCGATTGTGATTCTTAAGATGTAGTAAAGTAAAAAAAATTGGGGGGGCGCTAGAAAATAATTAATTCTCAAAGTGGGCGGTATACAAAATAAGTTTGAGAACCTGGTCACTTCTAATCACTGTTACTTCTAATCACGCTGTTGGCCGTCCAAGAATGGTAACTCCTCGTTGTTTTCAACTTCATATGTAAACTTGATATTCAGGCATCTCTTGTTAAGATTTGAATCAAATTCTTCCACCTTTGACTTCTTTGTGTCGAAAATCACAAATGAATCATCTACAAATAGGATCCAAGTCGGTGGTAAATAATCCAACTCCTTTTTTGATTCCAATTCAAATTTGTTCATGAACAGATTAGCTATGAAGGTGGACAGTGGGTTTCCCATGGCCGTCACTTCTTGCTGTCTGTGGTATCAGTTGTTGAACTGTAAACAATTCCATCCCCTGCAGATTTTTGTTAGATGTGTGTGGTCTTTAACCACTTCTCCACTGAGACCAATGACTCTAAGAATATCCCTTGAATATTGATCAGCTCTTGGTATAGGAACGCTTGGAAACAACGATGATACAATAAATGGAGACCAGAAAAGTCTAGTGTCATTCAACATGCCTTCCCACAAATTTCTACTCGAAATCATTGATGTGTGTCAGAAGTCAGAAGACACCAATTTAAAGTTAGGAATTAGTTTTCTTCATCCCTTGAAGACGCCAACTTGGTTGGTGAAAGGCGCGTCGAGAATAGTATATTGTAGTTCTGGTGTTCGGTAAAAGTGCTTCTTTTGGAGTAGAAACTTTCCAATTGAGACCATGAAACTATCAAACGCTAATTATATGTTATCAATTGGTTTGAAAATATAAGAAATTGCCGACGACTCACGTTTGTATAGCTATCTCTCTACCTAGTGCAAAAGCTTTCTCTGATTAATCTGTTTTGTCTGAATTTTTCACTTATAGAAGAAATGAATGCAATTGAAAAGTGTGTGTTTTATTGCACCAGGTATTGGTGACGCATGTATAATGATTCGCTGCTCCAAATGTATAAAGTACCAAGAACAAGAATAAATTCCTATGATTCCTGATGATGTTGAACGCTTGACAACACAAATCGACAAACTGGTGGAACTTCTCCGTTGGCCTATCGCCCCCATTTATCACATACGCCATATCAGAGGTGAGAACGAAAGGAGCCCTATCCCTGAAAGAAATTAGGGTTCAAATAGTGCAAAAATTTACAGCCAGAGAAAACTGTATCGAAGCTATTTTCAAGATATATTGGTCATGGTTTGTAGATTTTCATGTCTAACATTTCGTCTACGGTAGACACACAAATCAAATTCCCAAACATTATGGAAAAATGTCTCTCAAGACATGTGGAATGTATGAATTTTCAACAAAATTTAATATGTTTCGTATTTCAATTATGTATATTTTCATCACCTATAACTACTTTTAGATCTACTCAATGTGTTGTGACAATTTCTATATCCTAAAGCACCTTCAAATGAATAAATAAGATTGAATTTGAAGTCAGAGCTACTACCCAAGACTATAAAGGGAGGCGATAGAGATTTAGAAACACAATATACAATTTCAACTGAAAGAAAGAAGGAATCAACATAAATAAAGTCTGACTACCTGCACTATACTAAAACCAATAATGATTGAGAGTAGAAGTAAGCCCAGTTGACAGCAAATCGAGGGCGTGCTTATTAATTTTATAGAGGGTTAAGAATGAAAGAAAAATTCTTAGTACAATTAGTTAAAATATTCATACACATTTTTTATTTATTTCATTAAAACTTTGCAATATCGTAATTTACCTAATCGTTGTAGTCATTAGGTGGGCCTTATGAAAACGGAGTAATAATCGTGGTAATTATAGTAGGTACCAAATAAATTAACAATATTAATAAAAAACACAATATATATATATA